ATATACATGCGTATAGCTGCTTGTGATTGGCTGAATAAGACAGCAGGAGAGGATCGTCGTTCTCTCTCTAGCTTGCCAAGTGCCAATCACAAGCAGCTGTACTTATGTATATATGTTCTAAACCGTTTGTTTACATGCAAGAAATGTTGCCTGATTTTGGCTAGAGGGGGCGCAACCTCTGTATCGGCTCGGAGCGAATACAGTGATTGCTGTGGCTATAACACTGTCGTTTCGGCAGTCTTATACTGACGTACGATACGGCTGTACAAGTTTTATAGTGTACCGTTAGTGGCACTGGTGAAGCAGAAAATTTTTGCAGCTGATAAACTTTTTTGACGTACATCGGTAATGCAATGAGTTTGTAATGTCCTCTTTGGATGTTACCATCAGGTTTAATGTTCCCGCATGTACACTCACTGTACCTTGATTCGCAAACCGCAAAGTTTGAATTCTTAAATTTTATCATGACCAATAAAATATGATTTAAACATTGTTCAATATTTGTTAATGTTATAGTTGTTTATCATTATATTTTTAGTTTATGGTTATATTGATTCTCGTGTTTTCATACGACAAATTACTTCAAGAATTCAAACTTCGCGGTTTGTGAATTGAGGTATGGTGAGTGTACATTTACTACTGCATTATATTTTTTTTTTTTTTTTAAATCATAATTTTGCATGAGCCACATAAACCCTATTGAGACTACCTTGCCCATTGACAGTTATGGCCTCTTTCAGATTGTATTGATTACATGACTTAAAATTTTCTATGGTACTTACCACACTCAGTAACAGACACAAGTAAACAGAAAAAGATGACTAATATGTGGCTGATATCTTTAATTCTCCTGCAGCCACAAGACTCTACCAACATTGTTGGACGACTAACCAGGACTGGTACTATTAAATTTGACGATCTGTAAAAATAATCACAACCTTTTTGATAAATGTAATTAATTGCAATTTGCATCAGGAAATGTCAATGAAGATAAAGTAATATTCACAATAGGGACTGTAGAATCAATGGTTTACTTTAAAACTACACCACACTCATACAGGAACGTACATTGTGACATCTGTATAAATTTTACTTTGAATCTCTTAAATGATAAAATTAGCCTCGAATAATATAGTTGGCTTAACGATTAGCTATCTAGCCAGTTTAAGTATGATTTTTTTCATCATGAGGTATACACTGCAAACTTTTAACAGTTTAAAAACACTATTCTTTCGATTTTTGGATCAATCATAGTAATGGCTCCCACGAATCCAGTAGTGTTTCTCATCTGAGTGCCATTCAGAATCTCACTTCCACATAAACTTATTCAAGCTTAAACTCTCAGCCGGCTTACTTGGCATGTCTATGTCTGTATTTGGTATTGGACGTAACGTTCGCTTCAGAAATTTTGACACCTCTAAGTATACCTCAAACAAATCATAAAAACTCAAAAGCTTGCGGATTAAAAACTGTACACAAACATAGTTTCACTCACTCATTTCCACCCTCCCGCGGTGGAAAAAAGGACAGATGGTGTAGTTCAGGGTTCAGGCACAATCGGCTCAGCTGAGCAAAAGTTTGGGCCAGCGCAACGTCACAGGGGTCGTACCATGTAACTATTTTTCAGTACATCGGCCTATGTTATAACATAGGCCTGCAAAGCAAAAAAAAGTTATATGGTACGGACCCAGCAAGAGGAGAGGTTCCCGGAACTTAGTTCCCCACTACTAGTTAGAGCAATGATGCGTAATTATAGCATCAGCAAAATAACCGGATGACACTTGGTAACATTGCAGTAGAAGTGATTTCCAACCTTTCAACCGTTTAAACTTATGCTCCCTATTTCTCGAGAACCAAGATACGGGGTGATGAAAAAAAATTTTTTTTTTGTTTGTTAACCAAACCAAACTGCGATTAACAGGAAGGATATACCTAACGTATATCACAAAATTTTTGCCAGCCGAAACGTATTAGCTAATTTTGAAGACTAAATTATTTTTGTAAGAAATTGAAAAAAATTTAAAAAAATTTTTTTTTTAATAATTCCATGTTTCAAATCAGTTGGACGTTTCGGTTTGCAAAAATTTTGTAATATACGTTAGGTTTAACCTTTCTGTTAACCGTAGTTTGGTTCGGTTAACAAGCACAAAAAAAATTTCTTTTCATTACCCCATATCTCGGTTCTCGATGAATAGGGAGCATTAGTTTAAATAGACGAAAGGTTGGAAATCGCTTCTACTGCAAGTGTCACCCGGTTATTTTGCTGATGCTATAATTACGCATCTTGCTCTAAATATACCATTTTGATGGGAGCAGCCGACAAGATGACCACTCCCGACAAGAATGTGATCCAAAGGCTAAGACCAGGGCCTGGCCAGGCAAGCGTTTCATCGATGCCAGGGCCTGGGCAGACTTAAATGTAGAGTTTATCACACGATGTAATGAGGATGACCGCAGGCTATGATCAGGGCCTGGCCAGGGTGTCTGTATGTATGTATAACAACATAAGTCTACTGTACTAACAGTACTACACTACGTACTACAGTAGGGGTTACATCATTACTTAGTGTGTATATGTGTATATTCAACGTTTTTGGATAGAAAACAACGATGAATAATCATAGAAAATGATGAGCAAAAATCTTATAAGCAGATTATCGCTACTTTATTGAACTGTTGAGTGATATACAATGTCAGAGATTAGTTGGGAGATTGCTGACTGCCATGCTACGGAGTGTGCCCACTTTTTTCCAGTGGTTCGAGCGCCCCGCCGCAGCCAAGCGGCCGAACCAGGCGCACATTTTTTTTTTTATTTGAGCAGCACGGTAGGGGTATGAGAAGAGTGGATTCGCGTGGAAATGTCCATATTCGCTCCGAGCCAATGCAGAGGTTGCGCCCCCTCTAGCCAAAATCAGGCAACATTTCTTGCATGTAAACAAACGGTTAAGAACATATATACATGCGTATAGCTGCTTGTGATTGGCTGAATAAGACAGCGGGAGAGGATCGTCGTTCTCTCTCTAGCTTACCAAGTGCCAATCACAAGCAGCTGTACGTATGTATATATGTTCTAAACCGTTTGTTTACATGCAAGAAATGTTGCCTGATTTTGGCTAGAGGGGGCGCAACCTCTGTATCGGCTCGGAGCGAATA